ATTCTCGCAACGTACAACTATTGTATAGTTACATAGCAAAATCAACCTCGATTGTTAAATTTGTGGAATGCCTCTTGTATTACAAGCCTTACAAGCGAACGCATCAATCCAAAAGTCAAAAGTGAAAGAATATAAATATTCATATCTATAATATATGAGCAACGGAAGATATGGTTTACTTAAAGGACAATAGGAAAATACTCGCAAAAATAAATTGTTTTAATAAGTATTTAAGTAAAAAAATTACCAAAATTTAAAACCTTGAACTACCATAAGGCCACATAAAATAAATTCCTTGATTCTCATCACTACACTTTGAAAATGTCGAAGAGGCGGGAGGTCTATATTTTATATTTTATATTTATATAATTTATATATCAATAAAAAAGTGTCACAAACTAAAATAAACATATTTCTCCACGAACAATGACTGGCCCTTGAACTGAATGTGAAGTTCAGTTATTAAAATGCAATGAAATTTCTTTCAAGGTTCTATTTGTTTGAAATTGGCAGTTTAAAATGGCACTAAAAACCCAATATAAAATATAAAAAACTTAACTGTCTTGAAATATTTTGGCGGGCGGTACATTTGTATTGTATAACAAAATATAAAAAAATTTCACGCCGCTCTTAAAATACAGTCGGGCGGTGATGTGAATCAAGGAATTTATTTTTATGTGTCCTAAGCAACACTTTACATATATTTTACAAATATTATAAATAGAGTGAACACGTCATACCGTCAACTCAAGCCGCGATGGCAGCTCTTCTCAAGCGCAGAAAGTCTTTTTAAGTAGTGAGTTCATATTTCAGAGACAGCCTAGTCCATGGCCTTCCAAGCGCGGGCGAGTTACTGGCTGTCGTAAACTTGCGGGCTGTCAATTTCGCAAAATGTCCAAACTGGGTCGCGCTGGAAGGCCTAGCAAGATTCGCAATGATCAACATGGCGGTATATTTTCGTGAATTGGATTAAAGCATTGTAAGTACTATAATCTTCACTATTGTATTAAAATGAAACGAAATGCTTTTAAAACACTTAATATTCAAATTTTATATTTTTTCTCGTTGATCAACCTTTCAGGACACCACTAGCACTAAAAATTTGCTGGCTAGTCCACACGAAGACCGTGTCGACCGAAATGATTTGCAGCATAAACCACAGCAACTGGACATACACGCTGCAAAATGGCATACACTGGAAGTAATGGGAAGGTTAATGGAACGTACAGAATATTTCACTTGCTAATGGAAAAGCACCGTGCGATGAATTGATTTTTAGAAAGTACATTGCAGTATCAATACCGCAATACGAATGCATTCATGTGCATACGGTATTGTCTAATAACCAAAGGTTTGACACATACCAGCAGATTTAAGTTTTATTAGTAAAATATATGCAGCACTAACCAAAGCAAAATACCAGGATGAGAAAATGAGGTGTTTTGCCCAGATTCAACTTATTTTGTGATTTACTATGTCTAACGCCAGACAATTTTACTTATCAACTAGAAAATACATGCATGCAGAAACCCGTCGGCTTGCTGAAAAAAACCATTGTATTTTCCGAACATGAAGTATTTAAAGTAGTTGTCATGGTAACACCATAATTTTGTGAAGAATATTTTTACAAATGAAAAACCAACCTCGTTCCTAGGCTGAGGAATGACCCTGGCTGGGGCAAGCCACGTGTCACACGGAAATTTGATCGCCCAAGGGGGAGTAAGCAAAGTATCAAATTGCATGCTTCCACTTCCGCACTTTTATTGCAAGGAGTGAGTGTTTTGTACCGATCAACTTTGAGAATCATATATACTTCAAAATACTTGACAAATTTGATTTGTGTTTACTTTTCAAATATAACAATATGCTAAACAGATTTTTATAGCAACAGATAAGTCAGGAAATCAAGCAATGAAAACGTATGATCGTATGATTTGAAATTGTTCTTATTTTCTCGGGCTTGGGCGCACTTTGATTTCACACGTTTCTGCTGTGCATCTGTTTCCCCAATTTTTAAAATTTTATGATATGTCACTAAATTGATATTATTTGGAAGCGGTATAAACTTTGCATAGATTTTTCTACCTCCTCCGCAGGCCTTTCAAAAATATAAAATTGGTGGGAATCCAAAATGACAGGAGGCCACAAACCAAATTATATTTAATATATCATTTTACCAAAACTCTCTCCTCCTCCTTCTAGTGAGGAAAAAGTAAGCGCCCAAGGAGTGATGGGAAGAGCTAAATAATTGAGCCTCTTCTAGTTAATGCAATCAACATGGCGTCGTATATATACTTTTGGAGTTTCAACCATCGAGGGTGTTAAAACATGTTTTCGACTTTTATTTTCAGGTGTACTTGAGTATCCTGGGGTGAATTCAATATCAATATCTTCTTCTATCCATTTGTATCGAAAAATATTGAGAAATGCAAACGTTAACGAATATCAATGGATACGAGCTATCTAATTATAAATATACTCTTAATTGCAACATTTCTTCATAAAAATGACCTTCGATACTCAGATTATGAAGATTTATTTCAATTTCTTTCACATTTGCGTCGATTTCAAGTTTAAAAAAGGTCAAACAGCTATTTTGGTTCAAAAACCATACTTCGTCGCATTTTCTGGCAGAGCCTCCTCGACTTCATTTCAATCTTCCCATCACACCGCGCGCGCTCTCTGTTATTCTGGAAACTTCATGTAAGTTATTTGTAAATACTTAAGGAGACTCTGCGGAGGAGAGAGTTACCAAAACAATATTAGTTTTTTACTTCGTCTGATATAGACCGCTTTTCGTATCCGCAATATAAAAAAAAACAGGGAACACTGAACAAACAAGCACATACAATGATTTATAAAGAGCAGATAAATATCAGTTTATAATTTGCATATTACAAACACGCAGCGCTTTTATGTAACACGTCGTATGTCAGGCATGCGGCCGTTTATCCACGAAATTTATTCAATTTATATTTGTCTTTTATTTATACAGTGTAACTATTTAAATGCGTGTGTATATAGTCAAAACATCACATTCGGCCAAATGATAGATTCACAACGTCTATTGTCACTGTCGCTTGTGCTTGTAAAACCTTCCATTATTTGATTCTCCACGTCGCTTTTATCAGCCATAACTGCTAAGATGTATTTAGAAAATACTCGCAAAACGGGATTGCTAAAGATTGGCAGACGATCTGCCATATTTTGAAGAAATTTGACCCAACGAAGTAATCGATACCAAAAGCCAAGTAATCGACATGTTATTCAGCAGGCCTTACAGCTACCCAAGCCTTCATCTCAAATTTCAACCTGCGAACGGGCATACTCATTACGGGCTGTATGGCCTGCCGTGGAGGTAGCAGATTTTATACTTGTTAATTTCAATACAGGTCTCAAGAGCGACTGCATGTTTAGGACGTTCGGGAGGCAAACGTTGCACGTTTGGACACCAGCCAAATAGACATTGAATGTCCATTTCATCTCTATTGATTCTGAAATTATTTAACTTTATAGCCTGTTTATATGCTATTGATTTTATTAAATTAAAAGTATTGATCACTTATATTAAACATTAGGTACTGTAGGAAGGTACAATACTTGGTAAAAAAATTGTTAGAGAATCAACACTATAGAATTATAAACATCAGAAAATAATTACTGCGCGGCTTTTTTGTTTGCACGAAGTACAATATTTATTCACAGTATCTATAGATCTTCTACATAATTAATTCTATAGCGTTTTACCCCTGCCTCATCTACAGTAAATGCAAAGGAATGATAAGAGATAAGGTTTAGCGAAAGTATTTCTCTTCTGTTATATATTTTACAGGAAATGCATGCATGCAACAACCCCTCGCCTCAGTATTCTACAAACATTTTCTCACCATGAAGTGTTCGTAATTACGCCAACAGGGTCAGATTGTGAATTAGGCAAAATACCATTGTATAAGGGCATGCGTGTTATGGTTACGCAGAACAGGAACAAACAACTTACAGTTGTTAATGGTCAGCTAGCACATGTTATCCAAATGGAAGGAAATACGGTTTTCCTAAAACTAGCAATTGAGAACATTGTGCAAATGTACCTTGTGTCTTTTCCAACAGATGATGGTACTATAAAAACAGCCATACCTCTCATGCCTGCATACGCACTGACCATACCAAAAGCACAAGGCATAACTGTAGAGCAGTGTATTGTTTGGCTTGATAGTCCTGTTGTTGCATCCGCGGAGGGGCATATGTCGCACTTTCTCGTTGTAGACAAGAAGATAATCTTCGTTTTATGGTCCCTATATTGTCCTCCCAAGTGACACCTGTTGCCTTTGCATAATTCATAGTCGACAAAAACCAATAACTCTCGTATTACTTTGAGAACTATGCATTGTCACATTTTATTGCACATTTTCCAATAACACACATAACACGAAACGTATATGACAAGTTCGGAAAAACATATTACTACCATAACGGAATTTCAACTTTCACAAATAAAATTTGTCAATCCATATACCCATAGTATTTAACAGTAATATATCATTCATTGTTGCAGCTAATTCGTGTAAATCATTTTCTATTTATGCAGATGAGTCAGCCGTCATCTGCAAAGTCGCCGATCAAACCCCAGGGGGGTCAAATCGTGGCAGCAGAGTGTCCACAGTTTTGTAACGCCATACGGTGAAGCCAAAGAAGCCCCAGAGCCTTCTAAAATCCTGAATAGGCTGCAGCCATTCACATGCGAATGGCTCACTAGGCCTGATGTTGCCCTCTCCGAGTATGACGACACCATAACATCGAATATCCCACTACTAGAGGAGAAAGAAATTAAAAAAATGCTACATTCTTCCCGCGTTGCAAATTTGAAGCAGCATTTCCAACCAGTTATTCAGAACTTGGACGCTCTAAACAAAAAAAAATAGTTCTCCACCTTCTGCTACTGATACCAAGCAAGTTCTGAAGAGCTTGCTGGAGAAGGACGACCTGGATGCGACGATGGAAAAATGTTCCATGTATCAGGTGCGATGTTTGCAATTTCTGCTAACTATTTGATCTCAAGCATTATCCTCCGTCATCCAAAGGAGTTTGCCAAAATTATGGACCCCAAAAGCACACAAGCACAAATCTTCAAAAATACAGGATCGCCAAAGGACATAAAAAACTACATACTATCAACCTTCGCGGAAGACCATTCAGGAATCTCTTCGCTTTCGCGAAAGGCTTCCAAAACGGTTACAAAAGCTTTGTTAGATTCCGACAATGACAACGACTCTGAATCCACTACAAGCGCATCATCATCATCATCGTCCTCGTCCGATATTGTGGAACCAAAACTGCCAAAGAAACAACAACCACCTTCTAAGAAAAAAGATTCATCACCGTCCATCTCCAATGAAAATGTCCAACAACCACCAAAGAGTAAACGACCGAAAACAAAGCAAACTGTAGTAGAAATCGCGGAAGACATGGAACAGGACATCGTCCAGACAAACCTAAAAAAGTAAAGAGCAAGAAATGAAGTACACAAAGTAACCACGTTCTATGTTCATATTTTATTACGAGATGGGGAAAATGAACAATGCACATGGAACAGGCTAACCTAACCAGTGAACATGTTTCCATGGCGCAAACAAAAAATGCATGCCAACAAAAAAACGTTTTAGATTATAGAAATATACTCTGTTGTCTTATCATAATTCATATTTTTGTTTATTGGAGAAAATAAAAAAATGGACTTGAACTTATTTAATTTATTTACTGGACAGCCAGATTTAATCAATTTTCTTGCGAGTGTTGTGACAAAACAATTTCTGGCCATGTATGCACTAATTATTTTAGAACATACAAAATCAGCAATGGCAGGGGGGGGATATTGGTGTAATAAATATGTAGGGTGGGTGGGATGGGACATACTGTAGAAAGACACCTTCTTGTCGCTGTGGTAACCTTTCTGACACCCTAGGTTAAAACTCATAAGGACTAAGGGATCGATAGGCCATGCTTTCACAATTTCTATTCATACTGAAATTGAAAATCAAGTGAGCTTGTACCATTTTGTTCTACATGAGATTTCCGTTCTCATTGAGTTCACCTCAGGACACCTGCGTTATCATTTGACAGCCGTGCCGCCCCAGCCAAACTCCCAACCTGACAGTGTCTTCGGCTCGAATCGACCAGCAGAAGAGCGATCTTAATGCTAAAAAGGGGACGTTGGCGTTGCCACGTCATGTTGGTCATGGCAACACGATATTTTTTTTAAAATTGTTTTGTACAAACCTGCAAACAATAGATGAAACTTGAACACTTTTAAGTACAGAAGTATCAATTTCTAAAATATATAAAGTAGGTATATTATTTTGGATTCTATGTGCTTTATTTTAATGTAAAATTGAAAACGAAACTCTTCGTAAAACGTTTTTCAATGTGAACTGAAATTAACTGCTTTTTGCCTATAACCGAACCCACCTCTTAAACATACGTTAGGAGGTGGGCTCGGGTTTAAGCCCACCACTTCGGAGCCAATAGGAAAGCCGCTTTTACACTAGGTATGGGATAAAGTTGCAAACATAATAAACATAACAATAGGGAGCCACTTTCAACCTCAGATCTCTCCTGGCTGATGAACACAAAAGACTGCATGAAGTGTCGAAATATTGGATCATGATTTGTAACTTCTGTTAAGTTTTAAAACCAGAGTAGCGTTATAAGATGGATGATAAGTATGCCCATGGTATTGCCGTGACTAATTCTTATATTTATTTTTGAGCGAATATGTTATGACTGTTAGGGTGATGAACGGCCAAGTGATTGGAAGGCAAAGCGATCCATGTGCACACCAGGACTTTTGATTTCAAGCTGTGGCGCAGCTCTTCTCTTAGGAAGAGAAATTTTTACCCTTTTCAAAATGCTAAAAGCTGTCGTCACATTGCTCGCCAGCTTTTATTTGATGGATTTAGATTACCCTTCAGGGTCACAAATTTCTTTGTCCGTTTTACAAATAATTATTTTTGGTGATAGTGCAGTCCACCCAGAGTGTAAGGAAGAAGTCGTAAAAGCTTGGAACGAGTTAGATGTGTTTTGTCACCCAGATTCTTGACTATCCTTACAGTTCAATATACTTGCAGCTCATCTGGAAATAACTTAAAAGTGCGAATAACTATACTTAAAACTGCGAATAGCTCGATTTGAAAATAGTCTAAACTGTAACGTTTAAAGTTAAAGTGCACTTGTCGTATAAATTTGTTTGTTTGACTGTTTTTGACAGAATATTCAGACATGCATGTTTCGAATATCATTTTTTGTGGTTAGTAGGCTAAATCCTTGTTACTGTTTTTACTATGTAATAATCTATATTATATGTTTTTAATTCTTTTTTGAAAGGAAAAATGTTGAATCAAGATCTTTTGTCAAGAAAATTTCAAAAATTATCTTCTTACCATATCTTATTAAGAAAGGGTTTCTTAAATCAAGGTCCCCGTTGAATTTTATCAATTTCAGTTAGGATTATGTTGATGAGCAATCTTTTGCTGTGCAAATTTAGAGGGCTATATTATAACAAACCAGTCATTGGTGACACTAGATGATCTTCATTCAAGATTCATTATCGGAAAGAAATTGAATGTGACATCACAGCACCACGACTTTCTCTCAACTAGTATATCACGCCCTTTCGCGAATTAATAGGGACCTTTAGCAAATAGGTGACGGCAACGCGACGACGGCCAAAACAAACTCGTTCAAATAAGTAACTTTAAGATCAACATGTCTTGTATTATCCGTTGTATGAATGTCATGCAATTTAAAAGGTTAAGACAGAGGTTTATAGTTGAGAAGACTTCTACTAAGCCAATTTGGCAAGGACGACTTCTCGCTGCTTGAAAGGCAGACGTTGTATACAAAACGTGAAAATCTTTGTTTTGCTGTTGTAAACAGAGCAAGGACGACGTCTAAAACTCCCAAAGGACCTTTAATTATGCAATTTCTTTCTACACTGTCATAAATTTCATTGTGTTAATAGCCGTCGCCGTCCTGCTAGCTAAAGGTCCCTAATCGCACTGCAACCGCGGTCCCGACGGAATACCATATTTGATATGGAAAGATTATGCGGAGATATTTACCCCTGTCGTTGAGACTATATGGAACATGTCTCTTGCAAATCAGTATTGGCCAACCCGTTGGAAAGTTGGGAATATTAGCCCGCTTGCTAAAATTGACATCTCGACAGAATATCCTGACTTTAGAGGAATTAATGTGACTACGGTTATCGCAAGAACATTTGAAAGAACAGTATGCCAATTTGGAGGGCTATTTGAATGTTTCACAATTCGCATATCGAACAGAAGGTAGTTGTGTTAATGCCTTGTTAAAAATGCAGCATATTTTTCTTGCTGCTTTAGATAGAAATGATACTACGGCAGTTAGATTGTTTAGGCTACTATGGATTTCTCAAAAGCATTCGACAATGTGAAACATTATCACCTGGTTGAAAAATTGAAACAGAGTCCTCTTAATCCTCCTTGCAGATAGAAGACAGCGAGTTATGTATAATGGTATAACCTGCGAATGGAGGGCAGTTAACAAAGGAACAACACAGGGCAGTGTTAGTGGCCCGTACCTTTTTAATGTGTTTCTACATGATTTGGAATTAAGTGATGAAGAGAACACGCTATGAACCAAATACCCCAGATGATTCCACAATCTTAGCAATCATTACGAAACGTCTATCAGACAGATCAGAAATAGCTTTGTCGACGTTTATGGAATGGTCCAAAGTAATTGTAAGTTTAGCGAGCATGTAGAAATTAAGCTGTGTGAAGCTAATAAATGTTTATTTATAATCCGAACCTTCAGCAAAGAAGGGTGCGCACCAGCCGAGATAGATCACTTGTTTAAATCGATAGTGCTTCCTAAAATATTGTATGGCCTTCCAGTTTATGCAGCTAGTGCTTCTGATCTTACAGTTGTTCAAAACTTTTCAAGCCGATGCTATAAGAGACGGTATACTTCAGTAAACTTTAATATTTTAGAACTTTTAGAGAAATGTGATCGTCGACTTTTTAACAAATATAGTAGAGAAAAAAACCATCCGTTATATTACCTTCTTCCTACGCACAAAGAAACATCTATACACCTCAGAAATCGCTGAAGTCAAAGACCAAGGATAAATACAGAACGTTTCAAGAACAGCTTTCTCTTAATAGATTAATATTTGGGTATAATTTAGCTATTGTATAGAACAATGTAACATCTGATATGCATTTTTATCCGGTGAATTAAAGACATATTATTATTATTAATCATCAGCAAGAAATGGTCTTTTCATTGGCTGATAAAAATGAACCTTGGGTAGATGTTTGCCAGGTTGTATAATTCTTGTAGCGTTTGACTTGCATAAGGAAAGGAGAATGTATACTAACACTACATGCTGGAGTCTAGCATGTAGTGTTAGTATTTATCATATGGCAAGCATTTGTTTTGATGAATCGTGCAATTTGATTGGCTGCTGACGAGGCAGGATTATCCTGTGTTGCACACGGCCAATACGCAATTTTTATTGCCCTGCGACGAGAGCCGAGTTTCAAACGGCAAAAAGAGTCTAAAAAAGTCTTTCAAACTATTCAAAGCGAAGAAAAATAAACGTAAACTAAAGAAAAGGAGTACCTTCTGTGGTTAAAGAACTTTCTCTATATGTTTTTGTTAGCAAAAGTCGAAATTACAAGGTAAATCTTACAATGTTTATAACTATTAAACCAGTCAGGAATAGCTGTGTTTTGACTTTGTGAAGAGCTGCACATTTTATTTGCAGATAGCCGAGGAATTTGACCCCATCCTAAATAAACAACTACAACTAAATCAGCCACACAGATTTATACTTTTTTCCTGAAAATTTCTGTTTTTGTTCGATAAAAAGAGACATATTTATGAGATGAAGCGAACTAAAAACGTACTTGTCCATACTGTTTATTAATTTTATTGTTTTCATATTTGTAATTGTCTTTGTCTTTGTCTTTGATTAAATGACGAAATACCTCGTTTTTTCTTGAAATACTATCCAAACTATGCTAGTTTTCTATATAAAAAGTGCTGTGGAGTATGCGTAGTTTTACTAACCAAGAGAACATTTTTTACAATTGTTCTTTTTTGCAAATGTTTCGGACTTTGTACTTTGCCCTCGCGTGACCTTTTTTTCCATTTTTTACAAACGTACAATGCCATATAATAAAAAACTTACTGACCTCAACCGTTCGAGCAGTACGGGAAAATATCCAACCTCGGTCTTGCTGTATTGACCTCGCTATCGCTCAGTCAATACAGCAAGACCTCGGTTGGATATTTTCCCGTACTGCCCTCACTGTCGGTCAGTAAGTTATTAATATTCTCTTTTCCTGATGCAAGTCAAACGCAAGACGATGAACTCATTGTGAAGAATATATTAGTTATGTTTATATAGAAAAAGAACGCTGTAAAGTCACCTTGTACTGGACAGAGTAATGTTAGAAGGGCA